CATAATCTCCTGGAACGCTTGATAAGCAACTTCAGCAAGTCTCAGGGTACAAAATAAATGTGCAAAATCACAGCATTCTTATACACAGTAACAGACAAACAGAGAGCCAAATCATGAATGAACTCCCTTCACAATTGCTTCCAAAAAGAATTAAATCTAAGAATCCACTTTACAAGGGATGGTAAAGGACTCTTCAAGGAACTACAACATTGCTCAGTCGAAATACAACAGAGGCACCAAAACAAGTGAAGGACATTACCAGGCTCATGGATAGGGAGAATCAATACTCGTGGAAAATGGGCCACTACTGCCAAGTAATTATAGTTAATGCGCATTCCCCCATCAATGCTACCAATGAAGTTTCTTACGACTGGAAAAAACTGCTTTAAAGTTCATATGGAACCAAAAAAGAGCCCTCATTGCCAAGACAATCCTAAGTCAAAAGAACAAAGCTGGAGGCATCACGCTACCTGACTTCAAACTATACTACAAGAAAAAAATTTTAAAAATGTGGTAATGTGAACAAATAGCCTGGCTACAGTGGTAGAATTCTAGAGGCCAATGAGGAGAGAATGACTGATTGATGGTAAATTGTGGAAGATTTGGAGAGTCAGGCTAAAGTACTTGACCTGATCCTACAGGATATGCAGAACCAGTTAAGCTTAGTTTTTGCTGTTTGTCTTTTGTTTTTGTTTATCTTGTTGGCAAGGAAGCCACAGAATTAAAACGATGTTATAGAAAACTAGTCAGAATGAACCTATAATAAAGAAGACTTCTGCAAGGAGAGAAGTTAGGAAGTCATTGCAGTAGCACTGGGTGAGATAATGAATACTGCAGCATCAATAAAAATAGTAATTCAAGGAGAATGGAAATATGATGAGGTGGAAATATGAAGTCGAAGAGACCTAATTCTATCTAGTCCATTCTTTCATAACAGATATCTAGACTGTTTGATGACTGGTGTTGTGCAAAGTACGATTGGCTGGATTCTTGTTAATTTATACAATTATACATGATTTTTTTTTTTTGGTATTTCTAAATGATATAACTGTGAGAATTATTGGGACTGCTTGCCACTGGGGTGATTCTTCTTCTCAGGACATGTAGGATTGTTCTTCTCTTTCCTTTGAATGTTAGGCATGGTAATGAGTTGGTCTGGCAAATGAGATATGAGTATAAATGATGTGTGTCATTTTGAGGCAGGAGTTGTTAGGAGGTAGTGCACAATTGGTCATCTTTTCTTCCTCCTGACACAGCCACCTGCCATATTCTAAGTGGTGGAGATTTCACCAGCTTGGATTCCAGAGTGAGGAGGATGTGGAGTGGCTGCTCCAGCCAACCACAGGGGAAATATAGCGTGAGCCCCAAATAAGCTTTCAGTGCTATAAGCCACTAAGATATGTGGTCATTACTAACTGTAATCTAGCTGATCCTGATTGATACGATATTTATTATCTAAGGAATAAATAAAGCAATATATAATCAGTTGTCAAATATAGTTAAATAATTAAAAGGATCTACTTTATGTGGGAAACTTTATCTTTTCATTATTTCAAAACTGAGCAACAGACATACTGTTGATGTACAATGAAAAGTCTGGCCAGAAAGAGACAAGCACAAACAGAAAGTAATAGTTTTGCTTTATTGAGTTGATTCTGTACAAGTTTTCTGTGATCTGTTTTTAAAATATCAAAGTGAAGTAGTTTTCCAGGGATTTGGCAGTAAATGGAAATTGTATGTGCGTGTGTATGTGTGCATGACAGAAAGCAAAATCAAATTCCCCATGGGAGAATGATAAACTGGAATAGAAGTAAACATGTTGTGAAACCAAATCAATTATCCTTTATATGAGGGCTCTTGATGCAGAATTTAATATCAGAGATTTTTTTTACAATTGGAGAAAAGATTGATTTATTTAAAAGGATAGGCACACTATTTTATTTAGAACTATGCAGCCAATTATTTATAGAGATGAAGAGACAGTAGACTTTAGATTTTAGAGGTATTAGAGCACATTTTGATTTTCTTGTAAAGGAAATACAATGGCAATTTGTGAAGCTATTATCTAAACTAAGCACAAGTATTTAAAATAATGGAAAAAATAACTGAGAATGGAGTATGCTAATTTAGGTTGAGTACCCATAGAAAGTACCTCCAAGAAGGTGACACTTAAAATCTTAAGATGAGATCTGGTTGATGAAATGGAGCCAGCTATGCCTAAATTTAGGAGAAAAACATTCAAGGCAGAGGGATCTACTTACTACAAAAATCTAAGGCAGAAAAACATAGAATAAGCTTGAGAGGCAGAAACGAAGGTAGGTATGGGTAAAATATAATGGGTAAAGGGGAGAAAATAGGAAAGCAGACATACAAACAATCAGATAATGCAGAGTCTTATAAGTCAAGGTGCAGAAAGGAATTTTATTTTCAGTGATATGATATGCTATTAAGGAATTTTATTTTATTTTATTTTATTTTATTTTATTTTATTTTATTTTATTTTATTTTATTTATTTTGAGACAGGTCTCACTCTGTCCCCTCAGAGGCTGGAGTACAGTGGCGTCATCATGGCTCAATGCAGCCTCAACCTCCAGGGCTCAAGGGATCCTCCTACCTCAGCCTGTGCAGTGCAGTGCAGTGGCACTCTCTCGGCTCACTGCGACCTCTGCTTCCCAGGTTCAAGTGATTCTGCTGCCTCAGTCTCCTGAGTAGGTGCGTCCCACTATACTATTCTAGAATGGCCTTTGCAAGATGGTGATTATCTATCATTGATATGGTTTGGCTCTGTGTCCCCGCCCAAATCCAATCTTGAATTGTAATCCCCACATTTGGAGGGAGGAAGCTGGTGTGAGGTGATTATATCATAGGGTGGTCTCCCCCATGCTGTTCTTGTGATGGTGGGGCAGTTCTCATGAGACCTTGATGGTTTAAAAGTGGCAGTTTCTCCTGCATGATTTTTCTCTCCTGCCACTTTGTGAAGATGATGCTTGTTTCTCCTTCGCCTTCTGCCGTGACTGTAAGTTTCCTGATGCCTCCCCAGCCATGTGGAACTGTGAGTCAATTAAACCTTTTTTCTTTATTAATTACCCAGTCTCAGGTAGTATCTTTATAGCAGTGTGAAAATGGACTAATACAATCATAAAGCAAGAAAGTGACCTCATGGCAGGATGGACGGGTGGTTACACAGTTTGTTGGAAATCCTTGATAAGTTTAATTCGGCTGGGCGCTTTGGCTCATGCCTGTAATACCAGCACTTTGGGAGGCCAAGTGGGGTGGATTACCTGAGGTCAGGAGTTCAAGACCAGCCTGGTCAACATGGTGAAACCTCGTCTTTACAGAAATACAAAAAGTAGTCAGGCATGATGGCGGGTACCTGTAATCCCAACTACTCAGGAGACTGAGGCCGGAGAATTGCTTGAACCCTGGGGGTGGAGGTTGCAGAGAGCCAAGATCGCGGGATTGCATTCCAGCCTGAGCAACTCCGTCTCAAAAAAAAAAAAGTTTAATTCTCATAATTTGGAGGGTGTCCCGCTGGAAGAATCATACACAAGATTAAAAAGCGACCAGTAAGCCTAAGGCTTTTGACATGAAGTGAAAGGGGGTGATCAGGAAGAGGACAGGCTGGTGGAAGCCTTGCTTATTTCCAGTGTAGGTTTATGACTGTTCTGTTGCCTAGTTACAACTCTGGTAGCAAGTCAGGGAATTGTGGATGTGGATAATAATTTTACTACTTCCTGACTTAATTTATATCATTGAAATGTTGCTACATCTTCTTTTGAGAACCTAAAAAATACAAGCTGAAGAAAAATAAGAACAAATTAAACCTCCCCATCCCACCCTTTTTCTTATCTCCATTAGCCAGCATTAAATATTTGAGCAAAAAAATGATTGGAATGATTATAATGCTTACCTGGTAAAAGAAAGAGAAAATAGTGAAATTCTGCAGAGTTAATAGCAAGCAAAATCTTGTTTTTAACAAACAAACAAATAAAAAATCCTTTGTAGATGATTTTAATGTGCCACAGCATGAATAATTATGTTTAAAACGTGGCAATAAAATAAAAAGAGACAAGAAGGAGGTGCCTGCCATGAAAGCCAGAATTGAAAACTTCTTTTGAAGTTATAAAATATCATTAATCTTTGAGTGAAGTAAAACAATCCTCCCTCTATTCTCACACAGACAGCTGCTAATAGTTAGGTAGTTTCAGGAAAAAAAATATTTTGACATGGAAAATGGCAGTGCTTTCGGCATGGGCAACTATGCCTAGAATCCAAACTGATTCAACCAGTGAAATATTTTTTAAAACAATATCATTTAAAAGATTTTTAAATCAGTATTTTAAACTTATCTGTAATATTTTTGCTTAATTATTTCTGTACTATATTAATACATTTTATAATCAGTTTCTCATTACCCATTATAGAAATAATGGTCAATATCAAAGAAATCATCTGTCATGTCACAAATTGATTTTTGTTTTACTTTATCACAATCTACATGAGTATGTTAAGTTTAATATTGCTTAATGTTTAAATGCCAAATGCCACTATGGAGTTGCACTCTTAGTTTACATATTTCTATTTTTATATATGATCATTGATTTAAATGAAAATCTCTGCCGAATTTAACAAGACTCCTGTCTGTGGGCGCATGATCATTTTTATGGTTTCCCCAGAATCAATATCTTACTTTTCCAGATTAGGTAATCACAATAAACTTTTCCTCTTGTTTTCAAGGCCTAGGCCATCGCTTTGGATGAGAACTGATTTCAGCGCAGTTTAAGAGAACTATTATTCTGTTCTTGCTGGACACTGGTCTTCAGGGTTCTTCATCATGCTGACACAGTTAACATAATACAAAGTTGTGTTCTATAAACAGTAGATTTATTCATGAAACATACTTGAAATGGCTACTGCCTCTTAAAAGAGACATTTCCCTTTCAGCAAATCATTGTAAAAACTGGAAGAAAATAGAAAATTATTTGCTGTACTTCTTTGTTTTAAATACTCAGAGCTAGATTAATAAAGAAATTTAGAATTTCTTTAATTATTAGCAATTCAACATTTATTGAGTTCTAATACATAGAGAGCTCAATTAGAGGTATTATCTAATATTTCGTAGAAAGTAAAATGGTAATCCCTAAATGAAAATCCAGTTTTTGTTGTGTGTGCTCATATTTAAAGACAATATTCAATGTATTAAGCAGTTTTTTAACAGTGTAATAAAGTCTCCTTTTTAGGTTTAGCAGTAAAGGGCACTATACATAAAACACCCAGCATTATGCAACCTGACAAAAATAGGAATAAAATAAATTATAGTAATTATTAATATTAACAAAAGTATTACAGCTAATTTTGTCATATTCTTTTGTCTTCAAAACAGTTATTAGTGCCTATAACTAAAATAAAGATTTGACTATGATGTTTCCACAAATTTCTTATTCTTTTATGTGTCTACATTTCTTCCTAATAAGGTAAGCTTGTTTCCTACAAAACAGACTTAACCCTGAATTTCTGCCTAACCTTATAGACAATGTATTAATATAGTCACAGCATTTTTTCTTGTTTGGCCCTATATTATGAAGTTCAAATTATTAACACTATATATTTTCCTTGTTGTTCATATGCCAAATAATGATATGCTAAAATTAATATTTTTGCTTAAATTGGTGAACTATACACTATATAAATATAAATGTGAGTCATGGGCATTTAATTATATGTAACTGTATCTGATTTGAATTTAATCTAAAATTAAAGTATAAACATTATTTTCATGATTGGACTTTCAGATGGAATTGTTAAATATATTTCTAAAACTAACATTTTTGACATAATCCCTATTAGTCCTACAGTAGTATAGCTGTGGAAGCATAGCATAAATGAAAGAAACATTGGTTTTGAAGTCAAAGTGAGTATGGACCCTTGCCATATTTCCAAAGAATCTAAGCTGAGTGGAGTATGACATGGGCTCTGGGGACATAAAAGCAGAATTGTCTTACGCATCCTGTAAAGAAACGTTATAACTGCTAAGAGACTTTGAACATTTAGCTTAATTTTGGTAAAATTACAATTATAGTGACACCTATTCTACTTATTGTGTGGATCACATTAGATAATAGATGGGCAATGCCTTAAAAATTGCAAAGTGTTGGGCGAATGTTGGTCATTATTTGAACCTCTTCCATGTAATTTAAATTGTTTTCAGATTTCTGGGTTTTTTTTTTTAAGTCATCTATCTTTGATGACAGCACGAAATACAACGTTGAAGTGTTAAGCTATAATTTTAAAAGGGCCCCCAAGTATGGTAAAATCCTGATGACTGTAAGAGAGAAGACAAAGAGAAAATCTCAGGCAGAGTTGGCAGGACACAGAGTTCTTGAAAGTAAATATAAACTTCCAAAGGCAAAATCAATAACCTGTTGCTTAAATCAAATAGAATGGATAGGCTGGGTGGTATCTGAAGCTCCTGAGCTTCCATTTCATTGTGTTTTAGAAGGGGAGGCAAGACTGAATGAGGAAATGTAACAACATGGCATCTTTTCCAGAAATAATCCTTTGGCCTGTCAGTGTGGTGGAGGAACTGTCAGTGTATGATGGTTCTAAAACTGTCCATTTTCATCCAGCAAAATAAAGATATATGTGCATGTACATGTGCGAGCGCACACACACACCTTTTGTCATATTGATTTTTTTTTCTCGTGAGCTATGGAGACTTCCAAGATGCCAGTTGAAATAAAATCCCAGCTACTAAAAGCCAAAACACTGAGCAGAGATATATGTGCCATGTACTACATGGAGATAGGTGTCACAGTTTGAATTCAGGCAAGTTAGAGACTATTAGCAAAAATTCAACAATTCTCAGAAGAGGAAAACACATTGCAGCGTGGTTACAGTGTCTAATATTCAACTAAAGTTTATAAGTCATACAAAAAAATTTACAAAAAGATTAAAGCTGTCAAGAGAAATTCATTTGAAGTGGGACTGGGAGTTAAATATAACAGTTATAAAATTCAAAATAGTACTACAAATATTTTCAAAAAATTAAACCTTGTTCAAATAATTAAATAATAAACATCATATTAATGAGTAAATATATAGTGATATCAAAAAATGAAAATAAAAAACTGAAAATTCTGTATCTAGAAATTATAACTAAAAGAAAAACCTGATGATAAATTCAACTGCAGATTTTAAGTGGCATATAAAAAATTAGTGTGCTTGCAAATAGATCTATAAAAATTATTCCCTCTGATACATAGAAAGGAAGCAAATATAGAAGAAAATAAAAATGTTTTGCAACACTATCAACTGGTACAGCACACATGTACTTAGAGTCCGAGAAGGAGAGGACTGAAATAAATGAGAGAAAAAAAATTTAAATAAATAATTGAATAGAAGTTTCTAAATTTGTTGACAAACATAAACTTACAAATGCAAGAATCTTTGTGAAACTCAGGTAGAAGGAAAACAGAAAATCATACTCAGGCACATCAAATTCAAACTAATGAAAACCAGAAATAATCAGAAAATTAGAAAGCAGCAAAAGAAAAT